TTATATTATTATTTTATTTATATTTTTTTTCACCTGTACTTTGATTGAGACATTTCTTGCTATGAAATAAACACATCAGTTCTTTTTTCTCATTACTTTCCAGTAATCATGTTTTCAGGATGTTGGTCGTATTTCCGCGGCTTTTCATGCAAAACCAAGATAAGGGATTTAGTCAGGATTTACTGGATGTCCTGGTTTCATTAAAGTAATATATTGCTTCACAAAAGGAGGAACACATAAGTCATTATGGTGATATATTGTGTAAGCTAATCTGCCATAGACTTGACAAACATTCAGCCTAAGGTAATCATCAGGCGAGGAAGAGATGGACGCTGCTCCTTAAATCCCCCAGAGGTAGATGGGCAGACAGACCTTAGGTGCTCAGACAGCCAGCCACGCCCACCTGCAGTGCTCCAGAAGAAAAGGGAAAATTTTTCCTATAAAGTTTCTGACGGTACCCACCACCCCCTGAACGACTGCCCCTAGTGGTCCTCTGGGGCCAGGACAAGAATCCTCAACTCTCTAATAAGGTCAGCGTCCAGGAAGAGGGAATGAGAAACCCAGGAACGTTCCTCTGGGCCAGTCCAGCAGATACTGAAAACCTCAGCCACGCCGACGGACATCAAGCACTCTCCTAACAGTGTATGCAGGGTGTCCACCAATGTGGGGAAGGAGGTGGCTCAGGAGGAGGGCACAGGGGGCTAAATCTGATGGGCTTAATTAAAGAAACATGAAAAACAGGATTGATCTTGAGACTCCCTAGCAGTCTTAGACGAACTGAGGAAGGGCCCAAAACAGATTCCACCTCATACGGGCAAATAAATTTGGGTGAAAGCTGAATGCTGCTAGTTTTACTCACATGCCTGGAAGATGTCTAGTGCTACTACATCAGATGATCTCGCTTTCGAAATGGAATTGAACGATTCAGATTAGCTAGCCGAATGAATAGAAGGGGTAGAGCGTAGCCGCCTGTGGCCCGGGCTACCTGTCACAACTCCAGTCCGGTGCGCGGATGACATCATACACGCGCCACTTTGTTTTTAAAAGATATAAAGACAAAAAAATATAACCGATGACGTCTGGGGGACGGTGATTCGCCTACATGTTATGAATGCTGGCGTACCATAACGAATAAATTATGAACAGTTTAGTTTGTGCCTTCAACTCATTGCCCATAGCAAGAGGTTTCTTGGATATCTTTAGATATCTTTAGAACAGCTCCAAATGACACAAAACTCATATGGATGAGTAGAACATGAGTTAATAACATAAAATCAAGGGGCCAATGTAAAAAAAAAAGGCCTTTCCCTTTAATATTCTTGGGGCCAGGCCGATTGGAGATAATGAAGTTGAAATGGGTGAAAAAAGTGACCAACGGGACTGTCTAGGATTCAGGTGCCTATCTCAGTCTCTTGGAGATAGGAAAAGTTTTTGTGGTCAGTCCAAATAAGAATAAGTAAATCTGTCCCTTGAAGCCAGTGGCGCCACTCCTCAAGGGCCAGCTTAA